TCCCTGCCTCGGGCTGGCAGTTCTCAGACACGGGTGAGGGCTGGCTGTGCTAGCTGTCAAAAGGTCCCATTGGTGCCCAGCCCTGGCCTTCCCTTCCCACTTCCATGCTCCTCCCCCTCCCCCCCCACACCCCCAGGCAGCCCCACCTTCTGGGCTCCTCCTGTGGCAGCTTCTCCCAGTGCCCAGGGACGCTTTTCTACCTTCCCTCCTTACCCCTGACCCCTGCTCCTCAGCCCCACCCCTAACCCCGCCCCCACCCCCTTGCAAGCTGCTGTCGGGAATTCCGGAGCACTGTAGATGACGGCAGACCTGATGTTTAGGAAGCAGGAATACGAAGCTGCCATCAACCTCTACCACCAAGTTCTGGAGAAAGCGCCAGGTAGCTGCCTGCATGCAGCCTGCCCACCGAGATTGCGGGGGCAGTTCCCACCAGCTAGGGCCGCTCTCCCCAGAAGGGTGGGCCCTCTCCCCTCCTTCCTGACTGGGCCGAGGAAACCCCTTCCTCTCCGATTGTTCCCAGAGCGGCAGGAAACTGATAAAGCCCCGATGGAACGTGCTGGTCCTTCCCGTGTCCAAGGGGCCGGTTCCGGGCCTCAGGCAGGGCAGTGCTTGGCACTGGGCCCGGGACAGCCTGTCTGTCCCCAAACCCCAGGCAGTGGGGATCCACCTCAGCCCCCTTCTGAGGCCACAGCCCCCTGGAAGTGGCTGAGAAATTCTCCCCTGGTGTGTCGCTCCATTGCCTCTCACTACGGCATCGACCCCTCCCCCGCTCCTGGCCCGAGAAGGCGCCAGACACAGCAGGCCGCAGCCGTCTGCCCAGAGGCCCAGCGGATCCTAGCTGTTAGGCGTGTGGGTCCCGGAGCCAGAATGTCTAGGTCTGAATCCTGGTCTTCCACTTATCAGCTGTGTGACCCTTGGCAGATTTCTTAGCTGCTTTGTGTCTCATTTCCTCATCTGTGAAATGGGAACAATAAGAGTAACTGCTTCATTGTGTAGTTAATATCCAGGTAAAACACGTCAGGCCAGGCTCAGTATAACTGTTAGCTGCGGTTACTGCTACTTTACGCATCATTATCCTACGCTCTCAGCTCTCAGCGCTGGAGACACTGAAGCGGCTGGCGTGTCCCTGCTCGGCCCAGGGCAGCGGCTCCGGGTCCTCCCTTCCCCCAGCCTGGAGATCGCTGCTCTCTTATTTTAGACCATTTTTCTGTACTGAATAAACTAAATTGACCTGCTACATGAAGTGACAGCTCGAAGATGCTCTTGTCGTTCTTTGAATTGCCCAAGAGTATGTCTAGCCGCGTGCTTTTGGAGCCAGGGTTCAACTACTGCACAGGCATCTACCACTGGTGAGTGTGTGGGGGGGGGGGGGCAGGGGGAGGGGGTCCAGCCTTTACAGTGAGGAGGCTTTCTCCTTAACAGGCAGGCACGCTGGGCTTTTGCAGAAATTCAGCTTCCGGACCAGGGAACGGGGAGACCAGCGCTCCAGCCCCTGCACGCCCCGGGTCTCAGTTTCCCCATCTGAGTCCGGTGTTTCTCTCCTCCACTGCAGGCATATAGGGCAACCCACGGAAGCCCTGAAGTTCCTAAACAAAGCCCGCAAGGACAGCACTTGGGGCCAGAGCGCCACCTGCTACATGGTGCAAATCTGTCTGAACCCAGACAACGAGATAGTGGGAGGAGAGGCCTTCTACAACTTTGTGCCCGAGAGCATGTAAGGGCTTGGCTGGCCCCTGGGGGCAGGGGCGGGACCCTGGGAAAGCGGGGAGAGCCAGCCGGTGGCCTCAGGCTCACCGATGCCTCCAGCTCCTCCAGCAGGAAGGAGTCGGAGCAGCTGGGCGTGCGAACCGCTGAGAAGCTGCTGCGGGAGTTCCACCCGCACACGGCCTGGGGCCAGACCCAGCTGCAGCTGCTGCAGGGCCTCTGCCTGCTGGCCACCAAGGAGAAGGCGAACATGGAGGCCGCGCTGGGCACCTTCATCCAGATGGCACAGGCTGAGGTGGGCTGGCTGGCCGGGCGGGCAGGGGCGCGGGCGGGAGAGGTTGAGGTTCCCAGCGCAGACGTCTGCTTCCCACCTCCCTTGGGCACAGAGGGACAGCGTCCCCGCGCTGCTGGCCATGGCGCAGGCCTACATGCTGCTGAAGCAGGTCCCCAAGGCCCGCACGCAGCTGAAGCGTCTGGCCAAGGCCCCGTGGGCGCTGGCCGAGGCCGAGGACCTGAGAGAGCTGGCTCCTGCTGCTGACATCTACTGCCAGG